ATTTTGTCATCTGAAATTAAACACTCTTGATGTTCTCTGGATACTAACAATTCTGTGACCTTCTCCTTTTTTAATAAATACATATTCATAAAAGTGATAGGTAATGATCTTAATAAGACTAACGTATTATTTCTTTAGGATACAATTGTCCAATAAAACTTATATCAGCTAATCCTTATACTGCACTTTTTATAAGCCAGATATTTTCTAAGCAATTTACATATATTATTTCAATATGCTAGATAAATACTATTATTACACTCATTTCACAAAGATACTGACTTTATGTCTTTGCTTGTTTCTCTTAGGTTCTCTGGATATTGAGAAACGGTGATGTAACTACCTGGGTAATTTCTCCTCAGGGAACCTAACTTTCTCCCCATTACTCTACTCTCAGGGACTCTGATTAGCTTTAAAAAACATGAGGCAGCATTCCAGCCCAAGGATTAAGATGATATGAATTCCACAGTGGCAGGAACTTGCTGAAGTGAACTTCCCCATTCCACCTGAGGCTCAGTGGCCAGTTCCATTTGTGGTAAGTGCACAAGCCCATGATCTTTTATGTGGTTTGGCTCTGCATCCCCACCCAAATTTTGTATTGAATTGCAATCCCAATAATCCTCAGCATCTAGGGAGGGACCAGGTTGGAGATTATTGGATCATGGGGGCAATTTCCCAGTTTTTGTGATAGTGATTGAGTTCTTAGGAGATCTGATGGTTTTATAAGCCACATTTTCCTCTTCTTGCTCACTCTCTCTTGCCTGCCACCAGGTAAGATGAGACTGCTTCCCCTTCCCCTTCTCCTTACTAAGTAAATACTTAGTAAGCTTCCTGAGGCCTCCCCAACTATGTGGAAATGTGAGTCAATTAAACCTCTTTTGTTTATAAATGACCCAGTCTCAGGTAGTGTCTTTATAGCAGTGTGAGAATGGACTAATACTATCTGTAAGCCCTGTCTTCTGAAGCAGCATCAGGAGTCCCAACCCCAGGTCACAGTGCGAAGGCCTTGGCATTCTCTCTAAGACAGTAGTCAGCTCCCTAGCCTCTTGAACCTGTCTGGCAGAATGAGAAGAATCATATCCTAAATTGGTGGCAGATGAAAAACAAAACAAAAATATCAGAGAACATCAGGAATTCTTGAACTGGTTTTGCCATCATATTATCTTGGGTTATTCATGAAATGCATATGTCTGGTTTATATGCTCATCTACTAAGTGGAAAATTCTTGTCTCCTTGTTTACCTTACAGATGTGGTCTGAGTATCAGTGAGGCAATAACAAGGAAAGACAATTATTAATAAAAAGTTGGAAATAAGCTGACTATGATTGACTTTTTCTGCGAATGCCTGAAAGAGTGATAGAGTGGAGAGAATATTAACATTTGCTAGTTGCTAAAGGCTCACAGTAAATACTTAGAGCCAGTCTCTGAGGTTGGTGTTAACATCTTTATCTTTAAAAAGACAGATACCAATGTGCACAAAGGTAAAGTACGTAAAGTTGTACTGCACATAAGATTCACCTCCAATTCTGTTCAGTTCCAGAAATACAGTCATCACTGTACCACATTCTATTTTTTTTTTCTGCTTATTTTTTGTGACCTATTATACTGGGCTATAGACTGCATGATCCCTTTTGTAACCATTCAAGCTCAAATGCTCTTATCAAACAAATCCTAAACTCAGGAGAATGATCGTGTTTTAAGATCTCTTTCAAGGATACCTGACCCTTATCTGGCTGTAGAGACTCTGGAGATGGAAACTGAGAAGGATGCAAAAAAAAAAAAAAATACAAAGGAAGAAAACAAAAGGGATCATATAGGGGCAGAGAAGGCAGAGGAGGAGAGACTCTAGTTTCAAGTATCAGTCAAGATTTGTTTCTTCCAATATCTGGTTACTTGAGGTGTGGCAGGCAGAATATAGGGTGCAGTGGGATCAGGGATTTAGTAAGGCAGCACATGGGAAGAACAGCTGCTCAATCCAGAGGCAGATCAATATTTGGTCTATTTAAAGAACTAAGAAGGGCATGTTGAGCTTTTGGAGGTGAGGAAGAAACACAAGGGCATCAAGAATGGGGAAGACAAATGTTCTCATTTTCAGCCATAAGATGTTCTGACATGTGTGATCTTTTGTCCAGATCAATAATTTGTCCCTGAATTTTCCTGCCCTATGTTTTAACATAGCCCACAGCACAGAGCTTTTCCTAAGCTGGTATCTACTATGCTGCATTGTATGAGAGCATAAGTGTTCAGGGACCTTGTATTTAGTCAGGCAATTAATTTTTTTCTTTCCATATTTTAATAATAGAAAAATATTTTTGAAAATTAAGTATTTTAATATCCCATTACATCTACACTTTTTATTTTCTCCCTATTTTATTTTAGTTTTTGTCAAAGTGCTACCTTATATACCTGCTGCCATGGTAATTTCCTTTTTTATTTCTGCACCACATTGCATCCAACTTTTCAACTTAGCCTGAACATTTTCTGCTAATTAATAGGTCTCATCCAAAATGTCACTTTCCAAGGAAAGCTTTTCCTGACTTTTATTTTTTTATTTTCTAAAATACATATTTTATTGCACTTTAGGTTCTGGGGTACATGTGCAAAACATGCAGGATTGTTGCACAGGTACACATACATGGTAATGTGGTTTGCTGCCTCCATCACCCCATCGCCTATATCTGGCATTTCTCCCCATGTTATCCCTTCCCAACCTCCCTACCCCCCACTGTCCCTCCCCTGTTCCCCCCTAAAAGACCCCAGGGTGTGATGCTCTCCTCCCTGTGTCCATATGTTCTCATTGTTCAACACCCACCTGAGTGAGAACATGTAGGTTTGCTTTTCTGTTCTTGTGGCAGTTTGCTGAGAATGATGGTTTCCAGGATCATCCATGTCCCTACAAAGGACACAAACTCATCATTTTTTAGGGCTGCATAGTATTCCACAGTGTATATGTGCCACATTTGCTTTGTACAGTCTATCATCGATGGGCATTTGGGTTGGTTCCAGGTCTTTGCAATTGTAAACAGTGCCACAATGAACATACGTGTGCATGTGTCTTTGTAATAGAATGATTTATAATCCTTTTGATATATACTCAGTAATGGGATTGCTGGGTCAAATGGAATAAATTGGGTTTTTCCCTCTAGGACTCTGTCATAGTATCTTGAACTTTTCCTTTGTAATACTTCATATGATTGTAATTAGCTTTGAGATGAGACTTCAGCATAGGTGATGATTGCATTTGAATATTTGTGGAAGGAGATTTGTTCTCTGTAACCTGTGATTGAAAGTTGCAGAAATTTTCTGAGGAGGTCGAGGACTCTGTGTTGCCTGAGTCCTGCATGGTCCTTGACATAGAGGTGTGCTGATTGGTTATAGGTCTGCAGAGCAAAGAAGAACATGGTTATTAAGCCATGATGGAATAGTGATGTCCCTGTTGATGTGTAAGTGCAGCAGTAGCTGAATGGAAAGCACATACCCGGGAAGAATCAGATTTTCAGTGCATGTGGGAAGCATGTTTGTGCATGTGTGAATAGGTAAGCATGTGTGTCTGTGTGTGTTTGTGTGCATTTGGGTGCATGAGTTGAAAACAATCTTCAGAGGTCTTTCTTATCCTGCTACTCCACGATTCTAATGTTATAGCTGGTGGCCTAGACGATGCTTACCTCAAAACACACCCAATCCAGGCAGGTGGTTTTTTCTTTCCATCTGCTGCCTTCATCTCCTGCCCAGGAGAACATTCCTTGAAAAGCCATTTAGATTTCCAGTGTTGTTGCTGCAGTGTATTCAGCAGCATGTCTGAACTAGAAAGAAAAAGTCCTAATGGATAAGGTAAGTTTCTTTGAGAACTGTTGAGTCAACAGATTGTGGATGTCATCATTGACAGAATACTTACATGAACCTTAAAGACTTCACACACATCCACCAATGTAGGTTCCTTCTCCTTCCTGAATCTTCCATGTCTTTGCACATAATCTTTCTAGTTGACTCCTAACTTTTCAAAACATGGGACAGCTAACCCAGTGTGGGTCCAAACTTCATGCTTTTCTAGTTTAATTCTCTGCCACCTGCACCAAGCTCGGGCCACTACCACTATCTCAGCCTTGCTTAATTATTCATACATCTATATGTATCCAACAGGTAATTTTTAGCTCTTTTTAAATATCATGCTATGGACCTTGTCTTTACATATTTACCAATAAAATATTTTCACCTATACCTAACATTTCGTATCTTATTTTGGGATTGCTTTCATTTATCTGTCTCCTCAGCAGCTTCTTAGGGCCAGACATCTCCACACCAACACAAGGCAGTCGTTCCTCTCTAAGCTGATCCAAGGTACACTACACCTTAGAGGCATAATCTATCTATCTTTTCTTTTTTCTTTCTTTCTTTCTTGCTCTTTCATTCCTTTTTTTCTTTCTTGTGTTTTCTCTCTTTCTTTCTTCCTTCCTTTTTCTTTCTCTTTCTGTCTTCCTTCTTTCCTTCCCACTGCAACCTTTGCCCTCTGGGCTCAAGTGATCCTCCTGCCTCAGCCTCTTAAGTAGCTGGGACTACAAGCACACCCCACCAAGCCTGGTGAATTTTTGCAATTTTTAGTAGAGACAGAGTTTTGCCATGTGGCCTAAACTGGTCTCAAACTCCTGGGCTGAAGCGATCTGCCTGCATCAGCCTCCCAGAGTGCTGGGATTTCAGGCATGAGTCACTGCACCTGATCAGAGGCATAATTTTCTTTCTGCTGATAACATAATATAACTTTCTATAACTTAGTTTTCTATCTGCCTATGATAGAAGCTGTAGCACTCTCCATGCTGAAAATTTCCTGATGGTAGTCATTTGTCAGTTTTTAGAAATAAGAAATTTGGCCACATAATTCTGTGATTTTGCTTTTTTCCTTCCCTTCCCTCAGTGCCCAGTTATCTTTCTTCACAATGATGTCATCTCACTAATTTGTTTCTAATTCTTGAGGTGGTACTGATCCCAGGAGATAATATGTCAACATGAAGACTTCTAACAACTCCTTGAGGTTTTTACCTACAACATTCATTTTGGTTGGCATCCCAGGGCTGGAGGCAGAGCACCTCTGGATCTCTGTCCCCTTCTGCTTGTTGTACATCATCATCTTTCTTGGGAATGGCATCATTCTTCACATCATCAGAACAGATGTTGCCCTACATCAGCCCATGTACCTCTTTCTTGCCATGTTGGCACTGTCTGAGGTTGGTGTCTCTGCATCCACCCTGCCTACAGTCTTAGGCATATTCCTTTTTGGAAATACTGAAATTAGTTTTGAAGCATGTCTTTTCCAGATGTTCTTTATCCATTCTTTATCCATTATGGAGTCAGATGTGCTGCTGGCCATGTCTTTGGACCGCTTTGTGGCCATCCACAACCCACTGCGCTATACAGCTATGCTGACACTGCCCCGGGTCTTCAGCACAGGAGCTATTATCGGGCTGAAAAGCATCATGCTCATGGCTCCATTCCCCATTCTCTTATGGCGTCTGCCCTTCTGTGGCCACAATGCCCTCTCACATTCCTATTGTCTGCACCCCAATCTTATCCATCTATCTTGTGGGAACATTTCTGTTAACAATATCTATGGAATTTTCATTGTTACCTCCACTTTTGGGCTGGATTCATTGCTGATTGTGATCTCCTATGTGCTCATACTCCACACTGTACTGGGTATTGACACTGGAGAAGGGCGGAAGAAGGCGCTCAACACATGTGGCTCACACATCTGTGCTGTGCTTGCTTACTATGTGCCTATGATTGGCTTGTCTATAGTGCACCGCCTTGGACATCATGTGTCCCCTCTGCTGCAAGCCATGATGGCCAATGCCTACCTTTTCTTCCCACCTGTTGTCAATCCTATTATCTACAGCATGAAGACCAAGGAGATCCGTCGTGGCATTGTTCGAATGCTATCAGAGAAAAGAACCAGAGTATAGCCAAAATCCATAGTAGGAAGAGATGTTTTTGTTTGTTTGCTTGCTTTCTATACTAACAGGTGGCCTTAGATTGCATGTTATGCAATTGATATCACCTTAAAACACAGTGTCTAACAGGAGGTTCTCTATAGTCTGACCACAAACTGGAGTGAGGGTGCAAGTCGGGGTGAATTATGTGTGACAGAACAGTACACAAAAGTGAGACTCTTTTAAAACATGTGGTATGAGGTTTTTTTCATTACCTTGTATACCTGGAGCAGGGATGCAGAAAAGATTGTAACACAGCATTAGTCATAAGGAAAAGGCACCTGGGACTTGGAAGCTATAATGGGAAATCTATTCAGGCCTCTGTGCTAGGGATAGAGGAAGTGAAATGCATTACGGTATCTTAAGTTATTGCTCTCTGAATTCAACAGGAGCGGAACATATCAGCTAGTTCCAAAAATGGCTTCTACGACAGGCTATGACTTGGCATTCACCCAAACTCAACAAGGCCCCAAAGATTACAAATGTTATTTATTATGCAATAGCAAAAAAGTAATTTACAAAAGCATGGATTCAGTGAAGCCACTTGGTTGTTACCCTTGGGCACTCACATGTAGATGCCAACCCAGAGCATCAGGAAGAGGACTCCAAAGCCCATGAAGAGTGAGGCCATCAAGGAGATCTTTATAGATATCATGAGTGTACTTGATAGAGGTGACCTTGTAAACGAAGAACCAGGTGGTGAAGAACATGCTGATGGCCAAATCACCACTGTCCGATGGGGAAAGACAGCTGGGTTCACTTGGCTGGTGTATTTGCTCGTGGCCTCAAGCTCCATTTTGCCCCGTGCAGGCAAAGCTGCCACTCCGCTCCTAGAAGACTTCTGTTATTTCTTATCTTTTGCTTTCTTGACTTCATCTCATCTCTCTGACTAGGTAATTATAGCTAACAATGTTATCTACTGTGATACGGAGTATCTAGCAGACCTGATTTAATCATCACATTCTCATAAGACTCACCAAGTAATGTTCACAATTTTCCAAAGCCATAGACTGATCATCTGATCTACAAAAACACTAAATTCTTGACCATCTTTCCAGTCAATATTGGCTCTGAATGGCTTTTTGCCCAAAACATCCAGCACCATTTTCATCTGGATAGTTTCCCCTGCTGGTAAAAATGGTGAACGCTTTTCCTTATATACTCCCAGTCCCCCACAGAGACACCAGATCCACTAACACTCTCTAACTGATGTTCAAAATCTGCACTGCTCATACCTCAGCATGGAATGAAGTGAGCTAAGAAACTCTCTCTAACTTTGGTTTACAAGGATTTGCAGGCATTTCCTGATGGATACTAGGTTCATTTCTGGGAATATGTAGCAATTTGACATGTTGTGTCTCATGTCAAAGTTTGCTTGACTCAATCTGAAACTAATCTATTTGGCAAAGTTTTCTTTCTGTTAGTTTATATCCTCGTCATTACAGTGCCTCCCATCCTCAGTCTAATTTCATCTTTTTGAGGACTAAGTACTTGGTGGAACACACAGAGGCAATGAGGAAGCTGGTTTATGCAGCTGAAGAGAGCAGCAAAGGAAACAGATAATCCAAACCAGAATCCTGAACTACACCAGAGATATCCTTCTCTCTTCCCAGGGAGTTTCAACTTGATTTTTTTCCAAACTAGATCTCTCTGCTAGGAAATGAAAAAGGAGGTTTAGGTTTTTCTTTCTTCTAGGAATTTCTAAAAGAGTTTATTCAGAAGCCAAGTTCTAAAGACTTTAGGGAGTCTTGGGATGATGCATTCTTTGCCCCTTCACTTCTTGACTGATACATTACTGCCTTTGCCTCTCTGCAATCGCCAATAAACCAGCTGCCTACTCCCCATTCTGCCCTGCAATGCCCTGTTGCCCATGGTGTGCCCCCAGGCCAACACACACTGGAGCCACTTACTGACCTGTTCATAAGTCTGTTCATTGTTGCCATAGATGTGACTATAAACCCCTAAACCTGTTCAGGATATTGGATCCAACACCACCTTTTTAGGTTATACCTAGAAGCCAAGTTGCAAAGAATATTAGTTTCAGAAATTCCCCCATAAGGCCCACTTCTCTCTCCTCCCTCCTTTTTTATACTCCCAGCCTGAGGGATTTGGAACTTTGGAACAGGAGTCCCTAAGGCTTCTTCCTGCCTATCGGTTTGGCAATTAGCCTCATCTCCAGAAATAGATTTATTTCAAGCATCACATGGAGATAAAAAATAAAATGTTGGGAGGATAATCTTTTTGCTGCAGATTTTTAAAAGGACTTCCAAGACCTTGTCTCTGTATTGAAGCATATGTTACTATAGAAATCAGAGTAGAGAATTACACTAATCCTCTAAGAAAATTTTGCCACCCTACCCCACTTGACACTACCCTTTTGTTTTTAAATTTTTAAGGTAATTGTTAGAGATTTCCCAAGGTTTATTTGAAATGACACAGCACTGAAAACATGATTGTTACAGATGATTTGTGGATACAGTACATATCACCTGTCTTACTTTAGGACAGTCTGTGAAGATGAGTTACATAAATATAAAGCAGTGGAAATATATAGGAGCTGTTCTAAGAGTGTTCTTTAGAGAATGGATAAATATTTTCCATCTTTCAAACCAATCTCACAAAGACAGACGAGAAGACCACTTAGTTGTTCATCCCAACTAGCCTACCTCCAGCCACGGGGGCTGGACAACTAGAAAATCAGGTCCTGCTTTCTCTGAAGGGGCCTCTGCATAGATGCGCTATCCATCATCTCATCCCGAAAAACTGCGCAATACAAACACAGATACTGTCAACCGTTTTGGCAATGGGATGATTGATTTTGACCTGAGGCAAAACTGCAACTGAATCCCAGACAGAATAAGAGCAATACCTATGCAACAATCTTGCATGTTCTTCACATGTACCCCAAAACCTAAAATGCAATTTAAAAATTTAATTTAATTTAATTTAAAAAGAGCAATGCATGTACCAGTGACACTTGAGACACAAAGAGTCACAAAAGAAAGGACAGAAAGCAACTATGTATGCATAGTCTACTGCATACGCAGATCCAACAGTCATGGGACGTAGACTGTGTGACTGTGTGTCCATACATACACAGGTGTGTTGGAAGAAAACATTAAGAACTTTTGTAGCAGTTTAATTTTAAACACGATAAATTTGAAAGGGAGTGAAATCACTTGTTCCCCTCTGGGCAAGGGAATAAGATAATCTTGTACTACAGAATAATTCATCACATCTTCTGTAGGGCAGCCACTCAATACGATGCACCTGGTGCAGATAAATTAAAGTCTGGTCTGGAGAAAGCTACTTTAGAGTTAATGGGAAGGGATCTAGTACAAGAGAGTCTCCACAGCTTGGACAAAGCACAAATAAACCTATCATGAATAACGTGGAAAGGAATAAGAAGTTTCTCCTTCATTTACTTTTTTTCCTCTTATGATTTTGCACACACACTTCATTGATATACCTTCTAAGCTTTAACATCACGTGTAATTCATTAAGATCATAATAGCAAAAGTAAACTCTTCAGGTTTTCATAAACATTTAAAAACCCAGTAATTGAGCTCTTCCCTGGAATACTTGTCACCCTAATCCAAGTGCCAGGTGACACTTTCTGGAAAAGGCCCTTGTAGTTGGCAAGACCTCTGTATTGGAGCCAGTCTGAATTCTTCACATCCATCTGCCAGGCTGCATCCTAGTCAGCTTCAAATCTGAGGGAATCATCATCACCACGTCACCCCTTTGTAAGTTCATCAGAATTTACTGCCTCAAAATCTCGCAGCATTTACACCTCGCAGAGAAATCCAGGAGGCAATCCTGGAGAGGTTTCCCTTGCAGATGCTAATGGTCAGCAGCTCCCCGGCTGGTCAGAAGGTGTGTGAGGAGGGTCCTAGATGGGCTTCTGCTCTGCTGCCAGCTCCGGTGTCTCACTGGTGAGGCCCCAAGAAGCTTCATGCTCAGTGGCCTCCTTGGGCTGTGCATCTATGGTGATTTTGTGTTCTCCTTCCCTTCCTGGTTGGAGGCAGATCCTATGACAACAGAAAGGACGATCTTCTCCTAAGGCGCTACTACTTCCACCACTTCTGGTTGAGTTCTGTCACCGTTTGCACCCTTGGTGGTTCAGTTTCTATTTCAGCCTACTCTAAATTACTCCTTCCTCGGCAGGGAGAGCTGCCTCCCCTGCCTCTGCTTCTTCTCCCAGAAACTCTCCATCTCCTGACATCAAGGTTCCAGTGCCACAACAGCATCAGCTCCAGGTTGATCAAGTTGCAGATCATACTCTAGTCTGTCTGCATTGTGAAAAATGATTTCCTGGATGGGCGAACCCATTAAATGAACAACCAGAAGCTATTGTTGTCTGTAGGTCAGTGCTTGTTGTCCATAGGTCCCGGGGAAATGTCTGAGGCATGGGTGAATGGATCACTTGGCCAGAACCCACAAATACCACCTTAGTCTTGAAAGGGTCAAAGTCAAGACACAGCAAAGTCTCCACTTTCTTCACCTTAGGGAGCTCATTTTGGGAAGGAATCATCATGCTGATCTCTGGAACAAAGTTGTCCTGAAAGAAACTGATGATATTCTCCTGCTGCAGTTCCTTTGTCAGGTGACTTCAGACAGAGATGGGACAGGAGGTCATTTCCTGGTCTGCAAGGGTGACTCAGGTCAGGCTGGCACAGGAGAGGCAGGTGCTAGTGTTTGATTTGAACTAGCTGTTTAGCTGGAGAGGGGTGAACACTCCCTAGGTGGTAAGGACATCTTTGCAATGTGGAGAGGACTCAAATCACTGGGTGTTGGTCCTTGAACGGTGAAGGCCTTGTCAGCGTAGTGGTCACCCCCCAGTTTCGTCATCACTTCATACTGTTCATAGCAAAGCACCACAGTTTCCTTATGAAACTTAGTTTCAAGGCTGGAGATGTTTTTGAAAGTATTGACATAAAATACAATTTGTTTTGACTATAATAATGGTAACTCCTCCTGTAAGTCAGCGTTAAACTCTTCAAACCCTCTCCATGCTTTCTGAGATTCCACTTCTGCCTTAGACAGAGGCTCTCATTCTTCCTCCTGAAGCTCTGCTGAGCCCCATGGAGGTGGGTAGGCACTGGCATAGTCCACCAGCTTCCCTCTGCCCTTGGTGATGTGACTCTTCAAGTCAGGAAATTGACCCAGGTAGGTATCCAGTGCTACCAAGGATCCATGAGTTTTTCGTGGATGTCCTCCCTGAGGACATCACATTTCTCGCCAACCATTTTCACATCTTCCCGCCCAGACCAATCAAGCACATAGACGTCACACAGTGACTCAGCTTCGTCAAGGTCTCTTGAATGCCTTTGATTGCTGCTAAACATCTCTCTAGTCTGGTACCCTCTGCTTCTTGCAGAGGGTCTGAAGTTCTGAACATACCTTTCAAACTGTTCATCTTTTTTCTCATCAGCCTCCTTCGGCTTCTGGAGGACCTTTTTCTGTGCATAGTCGAGTGTCTTCTGGGTGTTCTTGGAGAAAAGATGCCCTCTTGATGTTGGCCAGGCTTGTGGGTCCAGGGAGCTGCAAGGAAATTAGTGCTCAATGTGGCTGGTGGCAGGAGGGGCTGGACAGGGAGGGGAGGAGCACAAGGCGGGATGGTGAGGTCCTTGACCCTACTCTTGGTATGTCCTTCTGGGACCATCGGGAGCCCAGAACTCTGCTCTGTTTCATAGGACTCCACAAAGGGAAACTGAAAGTCCCAGTCTTTCACTTCGCTTAGACTTTTTATCTGGTCTCTTCATCACATCTCTTCTGTTCAGGAAGAACAGAAGGGGAGGAGAGAAACTTTCAGGGGTGTCAGCCAAAGTGTCCATTTACAGAATTTATAAAATATATGATTATCCTAATTATCTTTATACTAGCCTGCTATGGCAGGCTTCAGGATGACTGGACCTGAAGGGTGAATTAAGAAATATATTCTTTGATGTGGCTTAGGTCCTTCTGAATTCATTCCCAAGAGCACAAGGAAGGAAAGAACAGAATGAAGTATAAATTGCCAGTGTCTTGGAAGACAATACAGAGATCAATAACAAACAGACAGAAGAACTAACAGATATAAGAAAAGATGTGGTACACTTTAAATTGTATTTATTCATTTTAATAAAATTATATTTTGTTAAAAATTGTCTATGTGAGAAGTTCTGTAATACAGCAAGGAATAAGAATTATTCAGGATGGTAAAGAATTATCTTTACCATCTTGAAGCACACAGTCAAGAAGCTACAAAAGAGCAAGGCAAATTTCACATGTAATGCAGGCAGACACACAGCCAAGTTGAGTAAAACAAACAAAATCTTTTGGTCTAATCAGATAAAAGTCATTTACTAGCCTGGAAACTATTGTAAAGATATTATTTTAATTTTGTTTTCTCCATGTAATTTATACATCCCAAGAATTCTGGAAAATCCCCACCTTTCTGTGAGTAGTCAGGGCAGCCACAGATCACTTAGAGTGTCAGTATCAGAGGCCAGAGATGAGGGCCATCTAGCTAACTGGCCACAGGGTGGCCCCTTGTGTAGTCCAAGCATTTCATGCCCTGTATTCTGGTCACAAGAATGTCTTTTAAAATTAATTTAAAAATTTAATCCATGTCATTTGAGTCATGGATACTGGCTCTTCACCTGGCCATAGGAGCACACACCCCTTCTCCTCATGCCTACACTCTGAACAGAATCAACTTTGAAAGGTATTTGAAGTCAAAAAAGGCCATTTTATCTTCTAGTTATAAGCACTGCCTCCATCCTCTCCCTTCTTCCCCACCCTCCACATATGACCAACTGTTCCTGAACTCTGCTATTTTGCACACGCCAGACACCCCCATCTGGTCTTATCTAAGATGTACCCATAAGCCAGACCTTTCATACCACTTTACTTTCTGAAAATGCATCTCTCTGTTCAGTAGTAACGGGAATTACCTCATCAAGACAATGGTCATCTGAATTAGAAATTATATCTCTGTTTTTAAATTACTATCAATATTATTTGATAAATATTAATCCAGCTTTTAACTGCACAAATTCCTCATAGAGATACTTTGCCTAGTCTCATCATTTTGAATTGAGGTGAATGGTTTACTCTCATTGAAGAAGTGAGAGTAAAGCTCATTTCTTCACAATGTGCAGTTTTCTAGAGACAGCATCTAGCTCCATGTGAGCAAAAAAGCTAGACGTATGTCCGAGGTCAAGAATGCCCTATTCCTAAGTATGTCAGGACCAATACATGCAGACCAAGTGAAGAGCAATAGGTATTGACTTAAATACTAATGACCCAAATCACAGACCCAAGAACTATATATATAATTGGGTCTATACACACACACACACACACACACACACATATATTATATATGCACACATAAATAAACACACAATTATATATTTAATATATAAATATATAATTTTATACAGGAAAATTTATAGTTTATTTGGGAAACATTCATATTTTATACAGGATGTGCAAGTTTATGATAAGGAAATTAAAAAATACACAATTATAGCTGCAACACTATATTAGCTGCACTGTGGTGAT